GATGATTACTTCGAAAAACGTTTGACCGTGGGCACACAGGGTAATAATAATTTTGTTAAGAATATAATAGTTACGTAGTTACAAGTATGGGAATGGTAATAATACATAATAGCACACACACTGTGTCCCCCTTAAGAACTCAACTTCCTAGTGCACATGTGATACGTATGTGTGTATGGAATATAATGATTATGATTGTCAGACTAGTCGCGAGAAGGTGCAAGAAGTAATTCGCATGGTCCTGCTGCCACTGGGTGTGTGTAAGGGAATAAATAAAGGAATGAACTTGAAAGGGAGGAGAAGATACCTTTCTTCCTAAGGGAGTCGTTAATCTCATTTCGCGATGCTGCACGTGCGCTCACGGAGTTCCATCACGAATAGGGAACGGATTTCAAATCATTCCTGGTGTGCATTCCTTTTCTTTTATATAAGATAGAAAAAGAATAGTAATAATAATAATAATAATAATATATAATCATACTTTTTCTCATATTTAAACATATATATTATCATATTATTATATATAGATACTATACATGACAAGAAATTAATTATTGGTTTGCACCAATAGATATTGTTATGTTTGTTTTCGTTATTTTTTTGGTTATATTGTTAGAATTTTTTAGTTATTTAATTTAAAGTTCATTTTTTGTATAGAAAGTTAATAAAATTTAAATTATTTCATTTAAAGTTCTTTTTTTTTTGTATAAAAACAATTGAGTTTTATTTCACATCAGAAAACCAAAATTACTTTCTTGCCACTCCAATAGTATGTACCTTTAATATATATATATTTGTTTAAATAATATTACCATATATACTTTATTAAAATAAGAAACATTTTTTTAAACATGTTCCCATAAAAAATAAAAATATTTCAAAGACAAGATAAGGTACCATGATACAATATAAAATACATGAATGAAGAGAAAGTAGAGAGTGACGGGGGTGGTTTAAACTTTATGAAAAACCGATTGTACGTAAAAGAAAATAAAGAATAAAACAATAATCCCCTCTTCTTCTTCTTCTTCTTCTTCAAAAAAAAAGGAAAACCCAAGAATAAAAGAAGGTTAAAAGATATGGGGAAAATATAATGGGGAACGTGTTTATAAATAATGAATGACGTATAAAACATAATGAAATGATTTATCGCTAGTATTAAAGCTAAGCTTAACTGACAATGGATTTTTTGTTGTTGTTGGTTGACAACGTTGGTAGCAGTGTTACAACAGCAGGAGGTGAAGTTGTTTGTGTAAATCTTCTTCAATATTTCTATCTCTCTTTTTTTTTTCTCACACAAACTAACACACACATTCATACACATGTATACCACATATATACACATACATATGCACCTTATACATAGACACATGTATTGAAAGATACGGGTTCATATACTGACTTAGTCATTCATTCATTCTATCATACCCACGTGTGCACAAGTATATATATATATATATATATATATATGTGTAAGTATGTGTGTGTGTATGTATATACTCTCTCTTTATATATATAGATGGTGGTATATATGGTGGGTTAGAGAGCAATAAATCTATCCATATGGCATGGTATGGCCATCGGCGTGGCGAACGTTGACCAATGGTCAAGGTGGTTTTAGTTGGGGAAGGGTACGGTTACCTTGCCACCAGTCACATTTATTAACAACGATACGATTTTTTCTATTCTATACTACCTCCAAAACTATTTTCCTATTTTTTTTATTCTATTTATTTGTCTATATATATTATAGTATATTATATATTACATTATATATAGGGTTCTATTTATTTGGTCAATATGTGTCAATATTTTTGACTCGGTATTTCGTTTAATATTTATGATCACACTGTATATATATAATATATGTAGATATTCTTGTTTTGTATGTGTTATAAATAATAATTAGTCATTTCAAATAAATGGTCAGTATTTATAATAGGATTTATAATAATCAGAGTTATATATATATATATATTTACAGCTTGATCATTTTATTATAAATATTCAATATTTATTTCATATATTGAACTAATAAATAATAGTCATTAAAAGAGAGAGAGAGAGAGAGAGAGAGAAAAAATTAGGTTTGAAATATTCTCAATTATGAAAAAATGTGATTTGGACAATTTGATTGACTGTAAAAATGATCATTTTGAATTATAATTCATTTAAACATTTTCTATCTATCTATCTGTTTCTTTTTATCTTTCTCTCTTTCTCACTTTCACTTTAACAAGATCTTCTAAATAATAGTGTTGTTTGTATAGAACTTAGTTTATATGGTATGCAACAATAGTACTTGACTTCTATTTGACTCTTACGTTTCAAAACAAATACATAATTAAACGTTATATTTACACACTCGAGTCGGCAAGTGAAGTTGTTCAGTATAATACGAATCGTTCGTGTAAAAAGGTTGTTTAATATTGTACCAGGTAAATATAACTTTTACTTTTATAACGTGTATGTACTATAATGTGTTATATATTATTTAAAATAATTATATCTGTATTTGTATGTGGGAAAATCAATTAAGTTATTAATTAAAATTTTGTGTTTATTCGAATAATGAGTGAAATTTTTAATTAGGAAAAAATAATCAAAAAATCAATAGATAAATAAATCAATTCAGAATCAATATTGGTAAAGTATTGTTTCTCATAATTAATATATATATATATATATATATATATATATATATATATATATATATATATATATATATTTTATTGAACAGTATATATAGTATATAAAATAAAATCAATAAACAATTATGCAATGTTATGTAAAAGAAAAAAGATCAAGATTCTTTTGTTTAAAATAATAATTTAATTCATCAAAAATCCCCCAAATCCTACTGTCGCCAACTGGTGGCATTTTTAGCAATTTATGAAGGTGCTACTGCTGCCCACTAGTGCCACCCAAGGAAAGTTGACGGGATTTACTATTTAAAACTTATTCAATCATACTACTAAGTGAAGTAGAAAAAGAAAATACGATAGGAAGGTTTAAAGGTTGGGAAGAGAAATTAAAAATACCGTAAAATGAAATAAACAAAAATAAAACAATAAAACAATTAGAATAATAATAATAATAATAATAACAATGAGAAAATGAGTAACTTTAAATAAGCATCGAAAACCAACACAACCAACGTGAAGAACGTTTATTAGAGGAAACCCTCCAATCCCTCCTTACCCCTCTCCTCACTTCCCTTCACTGCCATGCAAATCACGAATGCACTTTAGCCGGATGCGCATCATGTACGCACACTCACCTATGCATGCACGTACCTACGTGCACTAATACTTTTCTATTTTTCTCTTAACGATTCTAGGTTTGTTGTGTTGTGTGTTGTGGTGGTGTTTGGACAAGCCGCTTTGCTATGATTTGAAGTGGCATTTATGAGAGTCATTCTGTCTTCTCGTTCATGCATTACTCATGAGTGTCTAACATTCTCCCCCCTGTTCTCATATAGTCCGTCACTAAATGCACATGCACTTCTACACATACTCACATACACACGTAACGTGTTTTCAGGTGGAAATGGGGTAGGGAGTATTGTTATATGTTTATAGAATAAAATAATATTGTTTATTAATATTTAAAACTTTATATTAATTAAAGAAATATGTTAGTTTAATGAAAAAAGAAAAAATCATAAAACCAATTTGTTTTTATATGGGAAAAGTAGAATAGGATTGTATTAAATTGATTAAATAATAAATAATATTAGTTTTGTTAATAATTTTAACTATTGTTGTGCAACTATCAATTTCAATCCTAACATGGAGGTAGTATACGAGTAGGAATATCTATAGTCGTGTTGGTTTTGGTGTTGCGTATCGAAATTTATCGTTATACGTAAATTTTGCAACGGGGTTTTGATATTTATATACCTACATGGTGGTTTGTTTCTTTTTTTTTGTTTTTTTTTTTTTTTATTCTCCTCCTACCCAAAAGAACTTTCTTTTTTATCCTTTTTTTTTTTTATTTTTTCATACGTACACGCACACGCGAACAAATAATTTTCGAATAGGATAAATTATTAATGGTAGAATGAACCAGGTAGCAAGCAACCAATACACGCGTCATCGGATCTCGTTCGATATAGAATATTATTGTTTCGAATTTAGCGTATTTTATATCCGTGATACTCAGGTTGATGGTGAGGGGTAGAAAAAGGTGGTGAAATTCTCTATCGAAATTAAATTTTATTTCTTCGTTGTATCGCGTAAAAAGTAATGTACAATATTTTTCAAAAATACTCACACACAGTGGTAATAAGTTTTGTTTCTCTTTCTATAAATATAAAAATAAAAATAAAAATAAAACAATCTTACACCATAGTTAAGAATTTATTGCAACTCGTTTTGTATAATCATTCGTGAAAAAAAAAAAGAAAATAAAAGAAAAGGGAGTTAAAAAGATGTAAAGAATGGCAAATGTTTGTTCGTTCGTTCGTATTGAAAAAAAAAAGAAACAAATAAAAAGGGTTCGGTTCACTTTACGATACATCCGTAAAACGGATTCGTTTATTTCTTTGCGAGTCACCCGTTAGATCGTCGTCGTCTTCGTCGTCGTCGTCGTCCTCGTCGTACGAGTCAGGTTTAACGGTAAACACGTGTTGTTATTGCACAATAAATAGGAAAAAGAAAGGTATTCCATGTGGTTTTGTACTTCTTCAAGGGAATATTATTATAGGAACCGTTAATAAGTACAAAAAAAAGGGACTAGTTTCTTTTTTGACAATATAAACTCGTTATATCGTTTAATTATATTTAATGAACAATTATAGAACTGATCGTTAATTATTATCTTTTAACTAATTATCGGATTACCTTTCTTTTCCCCCAGTCCATGATTGCAAAAGGGTGAACGGTTTTAAACAATTTTTTTTTATACTCCCAATGTGTTTATACTTTTAATAAACAATTAAATTAAATTTTATGGTATGATAGATAAAAAAAAAAGTATGATTTAAAGTATACACTTACATGTTGGTCTTGACCTATTGGGCCTTGTCAATGGAATCCATGGTCTTTGTGGTGGTTGATTAGCAGTTACTGTATAAACAAATAAAATTAAATGATTATTAATTATTAAATTATTCCAATTAATATGATAATAAGTAAATAGTAATTGTGTCTTATTTTATAAATAAATATTATATATTGTATGATTTATGGTAAAACCAAACTTGACCAATAAACCTAACCTGAAAAAGAAACAAAAAGAAAAACCATTAAAAAAAAATTGTACAATATTTTTTCATCAAACCTGTTATCATTTAAGTTCAATATAAGATGATAGATTTAACAAATTCATTTTGAAATTGTACAATACAATTGCAGATTTGAAAATTGTACAATATTTTTTGTATTAAACTTGTATCATTTAAGTTCAATATAAGATGATAGATTTTACAAATTCATTTCATATATTAAATATTATTCATTTCACATTATTAAAATATTCGAATATTTATGAGAAAGAAAATGTGAGAAGAAGAATTCCATGTGGGAGTTGATAATCCATTATCTGGTTTCTCAACGTTTTCATATAATTAAATACAAAAGACGTCAACTTAATCATTGTCTTAAAGAGCTATAGCAATTCTTGTCTCATTTGTCGAAGGCTCAAGAAGGTTTGCTTTTGAAAGGAGAATACATCTTTCCAGCCATTTACGTATCCTATGTTAGTAAAACCGAATATAAACTAACACATTAGCAGAACCAAGAAGAACACTACTATACATACATCTATAAATATATATGTATGTATGTATATATGTATGTAGATAGAAGGAAGATTATGTAGAAGCAGAAGAAGAAGAAGAAGAAGAAGAAGAAGAAGAAGAAGAAGAAGAAGAAGAAGAAGAAGAAGAAGTGAGGGTGAGGGGTGGAACATTTGTATGTATGTACATACCAACATATATACATATATGTGTATATATGAATGAATGTATTTGTATGTATGTAGATAGAAGGAAGATTATGTAAAAGAACAAGAGTGTATGGGGGGTGGTAATGATGGTGGAAAGGGGTTCAGTAGAAAGATATAACACGAAGGGGTTGTCTCGAGAAAGAAAGGGTAGGTGGTTGCAGGAAATATGAAGAGTCAGAGGGTGTCTTGGATAAGGGAATAAGAGATGGGGGGTGTTAACGAGTTCCCGGAAATGGCGGTGGTAAGAACCATCCCCCCCTTGAAACCTTGAGACGTAACTCAAGTCTGACACAAATGCCGAGACATTAGACAAGTGGTGGTAAGGGTAAAGTAGACGCGCAGTCTCGGAAGGGCGCCAAGGTAATCAGAATTAACAATTCAAAGCCTTTCTTCTTATTCTTCTTTTTCTTCTTTGCCAAAGACTTTCTTCTACTTTCATATTTTCTTCATCGTTACTATTACTAGCACCTTAACTTGTTCCTTCCACCTATCCCCACCACTATCCTAACCTCTTTTTCTTCTTCTATTCTTTTCTTATCATCCCCATATTTTACTTTTTCTTCTTTTCACAACAGACAAACCTTTTTATGAAATATTTTCAAAAATTCCAATTCCAAAAAAATAAACAAATACAAATTATCTCTTATACATGCTAACAATTCTAACTTTCAAAAATATTGGTATAGGGAATTTTATTTATTTCTAAGATTTTATTTTTAGAAGAATTTCGACTACGTTTAACAATTTTCAGACTATGGGTGATGCAGTGGGAAAGGGTGAATTAAAGATATAATAGATGAACTTTTTTAATTTTTATTTTTTGCACGAATTAACTGAGAAACAACAACGTTCGATCGATATTTCCCTAAGTTTACTCAACTTAAGACGATAACTATATAAGTATCTTAATTATAAAGCGATTGTTACTAAAGGAAAGGTGTGTAAGAGCGTTACCGTGTTAAGAAAGTTGCCAGGCTGAGATAAATTTTCGATTTCGTTAGCGTTCATGCTTCATCGGATTAACTACTCGAGTATATGAGTGTGTATATGTGTGTATACGAAGGTAATAAACTTGTTTTAGTATTTTTTTTTTTAAAGTTAAATATAAAACTAGATAATAGTTTTAAATATTGTTATCGATGATACCAAAAGTAAAAGTATACACATACTTCACTTTTTTATTTTATTCTAATCAATTATATATAAATGATATAAATGATAATTGTGTTTGTAATTGTTTAAAAGATCAAATGAAATTTAAAAAAAACACACACACACACACATATTATTTATAACATTCGAACAATTTAATCGTTAAACATGATCAAATGCTTGCTAGTTGTTTGAATTATCTCGTAGTTGAGAAGATAGAACCTGATCGATAACGATGTTTAAAAATAGTTGTCTCTCGTTCGTTCAAACGTTCCATTCTTCAACTATCTCTCTCTCTCTCTCTCTCTTTCTCTCATTGGAAACAAGTATAATGACTCTGCAATGATACATGCTCGTGGTAATAAGAATCAGTTGAAGGAATGAGAGATAGAAAAGAGAATGAGATAGAAAGAAACATAGGAATGTTATGGGGTGCTTGAAGTATGGTGGTGTTGGTAGGATGGATAGGATGAGTTGTTGGGGTAGGGAGGAGGTGGTGGAGGGGAGGGAGAGTATGTTGAGGAAGTAAAAGATATACGATGGGTAGACAAGATATAGTCAGAGTTAATATTATGCCAAGAAGACGAGCCTAATCAGCGATACTGACGTTGCAACGTTGCAGTGACATCGCACAAGACTCGAATGAATTAGAAAGAGAAAGATAGAGAGATAGAGAGATAGAAAATGGTTGGTTGAAGCTAGTGAATGAGATAAATAGATAAATCGAATAGAAAGGGATGGGTTAATACTGCTGACTAGATTATTATAATTGCAAAACGATAGTGAACCATGAACGTTGAACAGTTTCAACCATTGACTATGAAGGGAAAAGGGTAGGATAGAGGGCAGGTTCAAGTTGACTTACGAGAGGACATGAAACATCACGGAGTACCCTCATTAAACTAGTTCATTACACCTGCTTCTCTTATTAATGGGGATTTAACTTGGCAGATAGTGATGAGAATAAAGATAGAAATAAAGAGAAAGAGAATCAGAGAGAAAATTCGATGGAACTCTTTTTGAATTTGAGTAATTAAGCATAGATCAAACTAGAGATTTTTTATTTATATTATTGATATGAATTTAATTGTTATATAATTTTAGGAATTATTTATAATAAAAGGATAATGTGTGTTTCTTTTCAATTGTGTTGTAGTAGTTTATTAGAAGTGTTATATATATATATTTTTTTTTTTTGATAATAAGAATTAAAGATTGATATTGAGAATTATGATTTAAAGATAAAAATGTCATTTAAAATATATGTCATAAAAAATAATTTGAATCATGTTCAATAGAATTATTGTTAGATAAATGTATTTTAATCTGACAAAGATAATAATGATTTGTAAGTTGAGAATGAGAAGAAGTAAAAATTAAAGAAGACAACAGGAATGTGTAAAGTTAAATAAAAATTGATAGGTAATATCAAAGTAAGTATCAATCAAAAAGAAAGATGAAAGGTATAAAGAGAAAAGACGTTACCTGTAACATCTATCTATCTATATATATAGATAAAAGTTAGAGGTAAAGGTAGTAACAGTAATAGTAATAGTAGTAGTAGTAGTAGTAGTAGTAGTAGTAGTAGTAGTACTCTTGCGGAATTGAAACTGCAAGAATTTTATTTCAACTTCGCGAGCTTGTCTCCCGAAGGGAAACTAGAGATAACGCCCTTGGGAGCATCCTCGAGACAATAGAGACGACAGGAAAACGTGTAGCACGAGCAAAGAAAACAGTATTTCATCTGTGGCATGAAGCTGAGATTTATTTTCACGTAGGAAACCTGATTTCAATGAATATAAATGTAACTTTAGGAGAATTACTTTAAATTTAAATATTCTCCCTTTCTCTCTCTCTCTATCTCTCTTTTTTTCTTTCTTTCTTTCTTTCTCTTTACTGCTTTTTAAATGTTTTTTTTTCTTTCTATTTTTTTTTCTGTATATATTTATAAAATATTTATTTGAAGAGTATTTTTTTTTAAAAACATTTACTGTCAGTGTACTTTATAGAATATATCGGTCAGTAAATATGAATATTTTAATCTGTATAAAAATAACAGTATTTATATGGACAGAGTATGTATTAATTATTTAAAATATGAATCGAAAAAAAATATACTTAATCCTATTGGTTCTTAAAAGTGTGTATCTAGATGATAGTATATCTAATAATAATAGTAAGTAATAGTATAGTATAATATATCATTAGTAATAGTATATTTAAATGATTGAATATAATTGTAACAGTATATCTAAATGATTGAATATAATTGAACACGTTGACAATGAATTATGAATTATCTCGTATAATTTGTTTAATAGTTTAATAATGAGTTAAATATTAAATTAACTTACAATATTTATAAAGAAATCCTGAAAAGTATTGTGACCAGTTTAATGATCAATAGATAAGAAATATATTGTATAAATTTAATTTGAATGTTTCAAAAAGAAAGTAGATACTTAATCCTAGTGGTTCTTCAAAGTGTGTATTAGTATAAAATGATTGAAAATAATTGAACATGTTGACTTACAACTAGTTACCTTGTATAGTTTATTTAAATAATCTAATATGAATTAACTTAGCATTTTTATAGAAGAATCTTGAAAAGTATAGTGATCAGTTTAATGCATTTTAATCAATACATAAAAAAACATAAGAGTGTATAAATTTAATTTAAATGTTTCAATAAGAAAGTATATTTAATCCTAGTATTTTATTAATCTTTAAAGTGTGTATTAATATAAAATGATTGAAAATAATTGAACACATTAACTATGAACTAGTTATCTTATATATATAGTTTGTTTAAATAATATAATATGAATGAAATTAACATTTTTATAGAAGAATCTTAAAAAAGTATCTTTACAGTTAACATAGTATAAGATTTGATTGAGAATGAAGAATACAATTGGTCACAAATTGCAAATGTTGATTTTGAAAATGTTATCTTAAAATATTACAT